CACCCGACTCTCGGATGACAACCCGCCTGCGGTCCTCAGCACCCGATCCTCTACTATGAAGAACCCCGCTACCTGGGCGAAAAATGGCTGATGAGACTCGAGAAAGGGCTGCGACGTAGGGATTTCCGAGTCCAGGTTCAGCTGCATCATTCGGTTCTTGTAGTAGTAGTCCCGGAACTTCTCCTCGATGCCGAGAATGGTGTGTATATGATGAGCCCGACACTTTTGATCGGCTTTGCTCCTCGGCCTCTCTCTGGCGAGCTCTCATCTCCTCATCTCTTTGGCGAGCGCAGCCCGCCCTATCGACATCTGACCAATCTGCCTCGCCGTGCTCCTCGCTTTGAAGAGCCAGTCATTGAGGGAATAGCTTTTTCTTCTTAGAAACAAGCAGGTTGTTTTTATTGAAAGTAGCAAAAATAACCTCCGTTTTCTTACTTTTAGGGACTGTTTGGTTTGTTTCCTTGATATAGAGAAATGCAATTCCATGTAAAGAAACACAAGTTTTAAGTTTTCCAAACTTTATCAAAAACTATAAAGAGACAGTTTCGTGAAGCCCATTAACTCCAGTAAGAACAGCCCATACCGAGGCCCAAATTGACAGGACCAATCCGGCAGCCCAATCAAACTTTCAGGGGTATTTTCGACAACTCAAAATGCCCACTCTATAAAAGCCTCAACACCCCAAAAACCTAGTTCTCCCCTTTTTCCTCATTTCCCCTCACCCGAAGGCGGCGGCGCGCGGCGGCCATCCACCACGCAAAGAAAAGGCGGCGATGCCGGCGGGTCAGGCGGTGCTTCGCGATCTCACACGGCGGCGATCTCTTCGCACGTGCGTTCAGGAAGAAGGGCTACATCCCGTTGACGACGTACCTCCGCACGTACAAGATCGGAGACTACGTCGACGTCAAGGTTAACGGCGCCGTCCACAAGGGGATGCCCCACAAGTTCTACCATGGCCGAACCGGAAAAGTCTGGAACGTTACCAAGCGCGCGATCGGTGTTGAGATCAACAAGCAGGTTCGGTGTTTGAAACCCTAGCGTTTGAATTTGATTTTGACGATGGCATCGAAACCCTAGAAAATTTCTGCTGTTTGGTAGAATACCGTGTGAGTAATCAGTAGTTTTAGAGCTTCAGTTGATTAAAGACTTGTTTTTTTTTATTTGATGGTTTAGATTAGTTGTATATTTCGAAGATTATGAAGGGTTCAGGTTTGAATTTTTTAGTGTTTTTAGGCTTCAGTAGTATACGGACCTCAATTCTAGATTTGGGTAATTATTTTTTATTAGAGTAATTTTTGTAATTAACCCGTATGGCTGCTATATGTAGAGAAGATGGTGTGCGTTTGAGTCTGAATTTGGGTTTGGGTTTCGGAGGAGAGGGATGTACATTTATGAATTATGAGGGGTTCTGATGGTTTTCAGTTTTTTTAAAATTTTAAGAAAGAGGAAATTGTTGAAGTATGAAAAACTAGTTAAGAATAAAAAAATTAATTGTATGTATTTTATACGTTTTGTAAAGACAAAAAGCTAGGTTTTGGTACATGTTCTGCACATGGTAACTCTGACCAAATAGATTTAATGGCCTTGATCAGTCTGAGAGATTATCGTTTATAATAGTTGTATAGAAGGTCTATTTGCACATGTTTTATTTGAGATGGCACGGGCAGTGGAGAATTGCTTTTTGACAGAAAGGTATAATAGCTTATATCATCACACTAGGTAAACTATCATACATGTCTCTACAAGAGCTCTATTGAGTATAGATGGAAAAGTGGATCGGTGTAAAACATGAGAATGTTAATTTCACACTAATTTCACAAAGTGCACTCCATTTGTAGATGAAGAGATGGATATGTGAGAGAAGGAAAGAGATAAATGATAAAGAGGGTATTGTTAGAACATTAAATTAACACATTGCATATTGGTTTGTTCAGTTGGCTGTATTTTTTTAGAGAATTACAAAATCAACCTTAACAAGCCACAATATTCCCTTAAAAAAGCAATGTTAAAGATGAGGACTTCCCATCATTTATTCAGTTTTATCTACCCTCACTAAGTTTTTTCTTCTGTAGTGTAGATATAGAATCAGATATAGATTTAGATATATTTTATTATAATGTACGCATGTATGTGTACATACTATGTACATACGGCCTTATCGCCTTGACCTCGCTTTTCGCTTTGAATAAACTGTTTGATGTTTGAAATTTCTTGATACTGTTTATTTGTCAATTAGAGTAATTTTGCACTACATCCAGTTATGTTGAATACTTTAGAATTCATTAGATTTGAAGTTTCAAATTTGTGATTTGCTCTGCAGATGCAAAGTGCGAAGCGAAGAGGTTTCTGCAATTTGTGTGTGATAACCTTTTGTTTGGTAGAATATTGTGTGAATAATCAGTACTTGTAGGTTTCAATAGTGTTAGATGTCATTTTTAGTAGTGGTAAGAGTAGTTGATGTTGGCCTTATTCTCTAGGGTTTTAGAAACATCCAATTAACCAAGATAAATGTTTTAAATAATTTTGTTGGGTTAAGTTTTTTTTATCCATCTATTGCTTCTTAATCTGGTTGACATGCTTTTTCTTGATGCCCGATTGACTTGTTCCCTTGAAGCTGTATGAAATTCCCTCTTTAGTCTTCTTTGAAATCTCCTGGTGATACCTAATTTTTTTAACAGTAGACTAGGAGATTTGGAGTACAGCTAGTTAGTTAAGTTCTCTCTGTTTGGCTTCATAATCTGGTCATTGTGGATAATATCAGTTTCCAATGGACTCGTTCCCTTGAAGCAATATTGATATGTTGTTATTCTGACTTTTCATATGTTCCGTTATCAATTTTGTGTTGGAAATATTATGATCGGAATCACATACAATCTTATCTTATTTATTTATTTGAAGATATTTAGAGACAACAGTGATGATCCTACTACAGACCTGTAATGATTTATGCGGAAATGATCGTAGAATCAAAGAACATCTAAGGGGCTGAGTTGTCTGTCTGATTTATTTTTAATTTTTTGATGCACTTCGATAATGGTTACTTGAGAAGGTTTATTTCAGTCTGTAATTCTTGATTTCTATTAATGATTTAACAATAACATTTAGAAATGTTGAAGATGTAAACAACTATTATAACAATGATGATCCTACTAAAGACTTTGTACTATAGATTTTAATTATTTATCATTTTGTATTTTGGGTCTTGTATGTCTGAATTAGGGTTAATTTCTTAGAATGCCCCTTAACTTTTAGGGGTTTCTTGCATAACCTCCTGAGAACTTTGTTTATCTGACATAACCTCTTGAACTGTGGGTGTTCCATAAACCGCCTGAACTTTGAACATTTCTTTCTGGACCCCCTTACATGTAATTTGCAAATAAATAAAATTTCCTTGAGAGGAAAGAAAACACAAAATTTAGAGGAGAGTGTACATTGGCAGTGAATTACAAATTATGAATTTGAGATTTTTTTTCTCTGAATATTTTAGTTATTTGCAATAACAAGAGGCGTCTGGTGAGAAAATTTAAAATTTTGAGGGAGGGGGTAGTGAGACGCCCAGTGGTGAGTGAGATGAACAAAGTTCTAGGAGGTTATGTGAAAGGCCCCTTGTTGGGTGTAAGTGAGATGAACGAAGTTCTGGGAGGTTATGTGAAACTCCCTCAAACTTAAGAGGTGGAGTGTGGGGTTTAGTATGTGAAATTAGCCTTCTGAATTAATAGTGTGCTGAGATCCAATAAAAGCACACGGTCCATGAAAATAATTAAGCCCTATGGCTGTGAATTTTAAAATGTATTGCTGCTTCCTTCACGTCATTAGCTTTGTAGGATTTATGAAGAAATTTACATCGCTTGCTATTATTATGAAGAAAAAAGTTCATGCGGACGTTGAGTAGTTGTGTTCATCCATAAGTATGAACTACAAGCGAGTATAAGGTTCTGGTCTATTAATAGTTAAAAAATATAAGAGATTCTGGTGAACTTTGATGGGCTCTTGCTATCATTAGCTCTTTTTTTTGCAATATTCGTTACCATTTTTACCGGGATATGTTTAATAGTGGTTAGTTGCACATTTTACTGAGGTAAAAGTGATTAGATATGAGTTCCTAAGAAATTTTAAGGTTGAGTGCTAGTCTGGATTCTTTTTTGTATTATACAATTCAATTGTTAACCATATACGGACTTTCACTAGGATTTCTTTAACTGTCATATGGGCAATCTGATGAAATTGCTGATTTGCTAGTCCGATTACTTCTTGCGTCATATCAGGGTAGTTTCAGCTTTTGTCCAATTACTTCTTGTGTTATATCATGCTTTTGTCTGTCATCATCAGTTATTAGGTTATGATGGTGTATCCGGGGAAATAAAGTGAATCAAGCAATGTATTCATTTTCTTGAATGAATCAGAACTTCAAAATTGAAACAACAGTTAAATTAATTTTGCCCAAGTTGCTCCTTATTGATCTTGATGTGATGATATGTTTTCATTATCATGAAGAATCTAGAGCTCATCTCGTTTTCCTTCACTTGATTCTTATCATCAGGTGGGAAATAGGATCATCAGGAAGAGGATCCATGTGAGAGTAGAGCATGTTCAGCCATCGAGGTGCACCGAGGATTTCCGCCTGAGGAAGATAAAGAACGATAAGCTCAAGGCGGAAGCAAAGGCTCGAGGTGAAGTCATCAGCACAAAGCGTCAGCCTGAAGGTCCAAAGCCTGGTTTCATGGTGGAAGGTGCTACCCTTGAGACTGTTACCCCAATCCCTTACGATGTTGTCAATGATCTCAAGGGCGGTTATTAGATTTCCTTTGGTTTCAGTTTGTTGTTGAAACTTTTGCTTGTTTTGAGGTTTTTTGGACATCTTAATGAGGGATTTTAGGTTGAATATTGGGTTTCATTGTTGCTGATATAAACGGTGGTTATTAGATTTTCCCTTAGCTTCAGTTCTCTTCCTATGAATATTTCTTTGGGTTTGTCTGTTGTTTAATCTTTGGTTGCATTTGAGTTTTTGAGGGTAGTAGCCTTTATTTACATTCCAAATTTCTCTAATTTCATGGACTATAATCCATGATTTTAGTTATTTTTTAACGAATCAAAAATTTTACCCATGCATACAGTATTTTTGGTGTGCTCAAAATTTCTTGAATTTTGGTGGATAATAACCTTTGATTTTGAGCTTTTTTTTAAAAGTCACAAATTGTCGTACCACACAAAATATTTTATGTGTAGTTGAAACATCTCATATATTGCTCAACTATAACCAACATTTTAGCTATTTTCAACTATAATATAAATTCTCGTTCGACATAGAACTTTTTTGCGTATCAGAATTCCCAAATTTTTGTGGACTATAGCTCAAGAGTTTAGTTACTTACGAGTAACTCACAAATTGTTGTGCTGCATAGAATATTTTATGTCTTTGCGGACCAAAATCCATATTTTTAGTCATTTTTCATCAAATCATAAATGGACAAATTTTCAAAAGAGACCCATTTAGACTTTTATTCCCAAAAAACAACCTTATTCAAATAAAATTATAAAAACCGACCTGGTTTCAGCCTCAGTGCTGAAACCAGGTCGATTTTTGAAAGTTTTTTTCTGAAACTTCACGGGAGTTGAACTCCCGTGAAGTTTAGTAGATGCTAAACTTCACGGGAGTTCAACTCCCGTGGAGTTTCATAGTTCAAAATTTTTTTTTTGAACTATGAAACTTCACGGGAGCTGAACTCCTGTGAAGTTTAGCAGATCTACTAAACTTCATGGGAGTTCAACTCCCGTGAAGTTTCGAAATTTTTTTCAAAAACCGACCCGGTTTCAGCGCTGAGGCTGAAACCAGGTCGGTTTTTGTAATTTTGTTTAAATGAGGTCGTTTTTTGGGATTAAGTTCACAAATGGGTCTCTTTTGAAAATTTGTCCAATCATAAATTGTGCCCTGCATAGATTATTTTATGCATACTTTAAGATTTCTAAACTTATTTGGACTATTACCGTAATTTTGGTTGCTTAAATCAAATCATAAATTACCGTTCCACATTGAATACTTCATACGTCCTTTAAGATTCCATAATTTCTGTGAACAATAATTTGGCGGCTTCCGACCTATCACAAATTGTCATCTCGCGTAGAATATTTTATGCATACTCCACAATTTCTGAATTTCTATGGACTACAACTCAATATTTTGGAAATTTTCAAGCAAAGCCATAATTTTTTGTCCAATATAGAATATTTTGTACGCACTCCAAAATTCCTTATTCTTATAGACTATAATCCATGATTTTGGATATTTTTAACTAAATAAAAAATGAACATCATGCACAAAATATTTTATATGTTCGACAATATTCTTAAATTTTCTATGGGCAATAGCCCATAATTTTGGCTATTATAAAAAAGATTATAGATTGTTGCGCACATAGAATATTTTAGTCATAATAAAAAATTAGAAAATTTATGTAGAGTATTACCAGAATTTTTGCAGCGTACTTCAAAATTTTTGAATTTCTATAGGTTACTTATGATCTCTATTTTGATCAAATCACAAATTGCACTCCTACATAGAATATTTTGTGCTAACTAAAAAGTTCCGATTTTATGGACCGTGCCCATGATTTTGACTGTTGTCAACCAAATCTCAAATTACACTTCTTTATAGAATATTTATGCCTACTCAACAATTCCTAAATTTATATGGATTAGAACTTATTATTTTCGGTCGTATTAGACCAAATCACAAAATTATAGTCCCACATAGACTATTTTACATGCAATGAAATATTCTTGAACTTTTGCAAGCAATGTTCATGATTTTAGATATTTTTGACCAAATTATGATTTATCGTCACACAAAGAATACTTTATGAGCATTACAAATTTCATGAATTTCTGTGAAGTATAACTCATGATTTTGACTGTTTTTGATCAAACTACAAACCATCGCCTCCAAATAATTTAAGGTTACTCCAAAATTTCTTAATTTTATGTGGACCATAACCATTGCTCTCGTTTTTTTTTTATGAATCACAAATTATTGTCCTTCATATAATATTTTATGCATACTCTAAAATTTGAATTTCTATCGATTATAACAATGATTTCAGCCCTTTTTTTTATTAAATCACAAATTGCAGACCCATATTGAATATTTTGTGTATCAAATTTTTTTGAATTCTTGTAGATTATAAGCATGATTTAGAGCGTTTTTAAACAAATCACAAATTGTACTCTTGCACAGAATATTTTATGGCTATTAAAATTTTTTCGAATTTCAGTGGACTATACCTCACGATTTTGGCCTCTCTCAACAAAATCTAAAAAAAACTTGTTCGACATAGAATCATCTAAGCATGCTCCAAATTTCTCAATTTCTTGGACTATGACCCTCAATTTTTTCAGTTTTTAATAAAATTACAAATAACCATCCAACATAAAATTTTTTTATGTGTACTCCAATTTTCTGGGAATTATAAAATGATTTGGTTGTTTTTGACTATTTTACAAATTGTTCTACAACATATCAAAATTCTTGAATATTTTATGCGAAATGAATTTTTTTTGAACTTCTAGGAGCAATAACCATGATTTTAGATATTTTAACCAAATTATGATTTATCGTCGCACAAAGATTACTTTATAAGTACTACAAAATTCACCAATTTTGTGAATTATAACTCATGTTTTTGACTGTTTTTGACCAAATTACAAGCCATCACCCCAAAGAATTTAAGGTTACTCCAAAATTTCTAAATTTTATGTGGACTATAACCATTACTTTTGGTTATTTTCGATAAAATTACAAACTGTTGTCCTTCGTAGATCTTTTATGCATACTCTAATTTTTGAATTTCCATTGTTTATTAACAATGATTTCAGTCCTTTTTTATTAAATCACAAATTGCACTCCCATTCTAGAATATTTTATATTTTATGCGTTCTAGAAATTCTTGAATTTTTGCGGATTATAACATGATTTAGAATGTTTTTAAACAAATCACAAATTATACTCTTGCATAGAATATTTAATGGCTATTAAAAAATTCTCGAATTTAAGTGGACTATAACTAATGATTTTGGCCTTTCTCAACCAAATCTAAAAAAAAAATATTGTTCGACATAGAATCATCTATGCATGTTCTTATTTTTTCTATTTCTCTGGGCTATATAGCCCTTAATTTTGTCAGTTTTTGATAAAAGTTACAAATAACCATCCAACATAAAATAATTTATGCGTACTCTAACTTTCTCGAGTTTATGTGGACTATTATAAACACAAGATTTGGTTGTTTTCGACCATTTTACAAATTGTTGTACAACTTACCGAAATTCTCAAATTTATATAAACTATAACACATGATTCGGACCGTATCTGAACCAATCACAAGTAGCCATCCCGCAACAATTAAAAAATTGGGTGGCACTAGAGGCACACCCCCAACCACATCCTCTCTCATTTGCTACAGTGCACCGGGTCCCACATGTGATTTTAAAATTCTTGAATTTTTGCGGATTATAACATGATTTAGAATGTTTTTAAACAAATCACAAATTATACTCTTGCATAGAATATTTAATGGCTATTAAAAAAATCTCGAATTTAAGCGGACTATAACTAATGATTTTGACCTTTCTAAACCAAATCTAAAAAATATTGTTCAACATAGAATCATCTATGCATGTTCTTAATTTTTCTATTTCTCTGGGCTATATAGCCCTTAATTTTGTCAGTTTTTGATAAAAGTTACAAATAACCATCCAACATAAAATAATTTATGCGTACTCTAACTTTCTCGAGTTTATGTGGACTATTATAAACACAAGATTTGGTTGTTTTCGACCATTTTACAAATTGTTGTACAACTTACCGAAATTCTCGAATTTATATAAACTATAACACATGATTCGGACCGTATCTGAACCAATCACAAGTAGCCATCCCGAAACAATTAAAAAATTGGGTGGCACTAGAGGCACACCCCCAACCCTAACCCCAACCACATCCTCTCTCATTTGCTACAGTGCATCGGGTCTCACATGTGATTTTAAATTTTAAAATCTCATATGAGGCCCGGTGTACTATAGCAAATGAGAGAGAGGGTGTGGTTGGGGTTGTGGTTGGGGGTGTGCCCCTATCATTTTCCTAAAAAATTTGCTCTACTAAAAATTTAAAAAAAAAAGAAAAGAAAAGGAAAAAAAAAGTTACTTGGTCTGAAAAGGTTGTCTGAGACTAAATGGGCTAGGCCCATAGGCCGAGGACCCAAGAAGTTAACAATAAGATCCATAACAAAGAGCTTCGGAGGTTTAACTTGGAAAAACGGAAAAAAAAAATCAATGGAGGACGAGAGTACTGCTCTCAGCTCCCCGAACTCCAAAGAAGAAGAAGAAGGGGAAAATGATGAGAATATTTTGATGTTTTTAGATTCTTTAGACAGCTACGTCACCCTCATGGATTCATTGACTTCCTCCCTTCGGAAGGTCAGTCATCGATTTTTTCTCTATGCATATCGTGATCAATTTGTAAATCTAGGGTTTTGGTTATTTATTTTAACCATCTTTTGTGTTATAATTTGTTTTTTTTTTGTGAAAAGAGAAAATTTTCGCAAAAAAGATGCAAACTTCCGTCAAAATTGAGCATGACTTGTTCATAAATGCAGTACAATTAATACCAAATTGTCTAGCTGAAGAAATTCTGTTTAGGTTCACAAGGAAATGCTTCAAACGGGATAAATCATTAAAAACCTCGCATGTAACAGTTAATCTCTTTTGAAGGCAGGTGATATTAGAATCTGTTACTTCAAAAGGGATCCTAGTTTGGCTATGAATGATCGTTTGTGTAGTGAAAGAGAATTGAAATGCTATTTGGGACATAGATCTTCGCTACTTTAGCTGCTTGCTTGGATGCTAACTTCGAACAAACTGGAGAGCATAAACTTCTTCGTATGCATCTATCTTTTTAACATTGCGTCATTGCCTCATCTTACCCTTTACTCTTTTTCCTTAAAATATAATTACCTTAAGCATTATCCAAGTATTTTGGACCAACCCTTGATTTTCGGTGTTTTTTTTACCAAATAACAAAATTTCATTCAGCATAGAATATTTTATATGTACTTCAAATTCTTGTGATTCCGATCGTTTTCGACCAAATCACAAATTATCGTCTCACATAAATATAATTTATACTTACTCCAAATTTATTGTAATTCACTGGACTATAACTCATGATTTTGGCTATTTTCGATCAAAGCATGGACTGCTGTATCTCATAAAATATTTTTTACTCCAAATTTATTGTAATTCACTGGACTATAACTCATGATTTTGGCTATTTTTGATCAAAGCATGGACTGCTGTATCTCATAAAATATTTTTTACTCCAAATTTATTGTAATTCACTGGACTATAACTCATGATTTTGGCTATTTTTGATCAAAGCATGGACTGCTGTATCTCATAAAATATTTTTTACTCCAAATTTATTGTAATTCACTGGACTATAACTCATGATTTTGGCTATTTTTTATCAAAGCATGGACTGCTGTATCTCATAAAATATTTTATGTGTGCTCTATCTCGAATTTATGTGGATTCTAACCCTTGATGTTTGGCATGTTAGACCAAATCCTAATATTTTGTCCAGCATAGAATATTTCATGCGTACATCGAATTTCTATATAATATGAGCCATGATTTTGACCGTTTTAGATTAAATCACAAATTATCATCGCACATACAAAGATACAAATAATTTATATGTACTCCAAATTTCTCTAACTTATGGGGATAATAACTAATGATTTTGATTGTTTTCCATCAAATTATGAATTACTATATCTCGTAGAATATTTTAGGCAGCACTTATAAAACCTAAAATACCTTAAAATACCCTTAAGTTTTTAAAATTGGCACTCAAATACCTTAAAATTTTAAACTTGCACTAAAACTACTCTTAGTTATGCAAACTTGAGGACATTAAGTGCAAATTTTAAGAATTTTATTCTACAAACGTGTTGCTTTTAAAACTTAAGGGGTTGTAAGTAGCTGCCAAAAACAAGTGAAGGTATATAAGTGCTGCCAAAAATAAGTAAGGGTAATAAGTGAAAAATAGGGGAAACTATAGGGTATTTAAGTGCAATTAGGCCTAAAATTATCTATTTGTACTCTCGAATTTCTATGGACTATAACCCCATAATTTTGAATGTTTTCAATCAAATCATAAACTGTTGTACCTTATAAAATATTTTACGTTTATTCTAAAATTCTCAAACAAATTTGGACTTGAATCAATGATTTTGGGCATTACAATCAAATCACAAAATTTAGTCCAATATAAAAGATGTCATCCGTTCTTCAAATTCTCGAATTGCTATGGACTATAATCCATGATTTTTACTGTATTTGACCAAATCACAAATTTTCGTCAGAAATAAAATAAATATATGTACTCTAAATTTCTCGAATTTCTAATGGCCTATAGCTAATGATTTTGGCTATTTTCAATCAAATAACAAACTATTGTACCTTATAGGTTATTTTATGCCTACTCTAAATTTCTCAAGAATCTGTGGACTTAAACCCATGATTTTGGCCAATTTCGGCAAAATCACAAAATTTCATCTGCTATAGAATATTGTGTACTCTAACTTCTCGAATTTCTATGGACTATAATCTATTGTTTTAGCTATTTTCGATCAAATCACAAATTATCATCGCACGTAAAAATAATTTATACGTACTCTTGAGTTTCTATGAATATAACCCTTGATTTTTACTATTTTCGATCAAATCACGAATTGTGCTACCTCATCGAATGCTTTATGCATTCTTCAAAATTCTCAAATTTCAATGGACTATAACCCATCATTTTGGAGGTTTTCGATCAAATCACAAACTGTTGCATCTCATAGAATATTTTATGCACATTCCCAAATTCTCAATCTTCTGTGGATAATAACCCATGATGTTGGGCATTCGACCAAATCACAAAGTTTCGTCCAACACAGATTATATTATCTATACTTCAAATTCTTGAATTGTTATGGACTATAACCTATGATTTTAACTGTTTTTGACTGAATCACAAATTTTCGTCTAGGATAGAAATAACTTATACGCAGTCCAAATTTCTCGAGTTTCTATTGACTATAACTCCTGATATTGGCAGTTTTTTTATCTAATCATTAATTATTGTCCCTTACAGAATATTTTATGCGCACTAAGATTCTGGAGTTTCTGTGGACAATAACTCATGATTTTGGGTATTTTCATGCAAATCACAAATTTTTGTTTGTTATAGAATATTTTGTGCGCACTCAAAATTTTTGAATTTTTATGGACTATAATATCCAAGATTTTGACTGTTTTCTACCAAATCCTCTACGTTATAACCCATGATTTTGACTATTTTCGACCAAGTCGCAAGTTGTCATTCCTCCTAAAAATAATTTATAAGTACTCAAATTTTCTTGAATTTCTTTGGACTATAACCATGATTTTGGTTGTTTTCAATTTATTCATGAATTGTAGTTCTTGATAGAATATTTTAGGCTTAATTCCACTTAAATAACCTATACTTTCCCCTACTTTGCACTTATACCATTCTTTCTGGCAATACTTATATAATCTGAAGTTTCTAAAACTTGTACTTATATATTCTAGAAAGTTTTTAAAACTTGCTCTTAAATGCCCTAAAGTTTTTTAAACTTGCACTTTAATACCCTCGCATCTGCAATTTCAAGAACTTTAGGATTTTTAAGTGCAAGTTCTAAAAACTTTCGGGTATTTAAATGCGAGTTTTAAAAACTTTGAGGTATATGGCTGCTTCTAAAAACAAGGCTCTATAACAACAAGTTTAAAAACTTTAGGGTATATAATTGCTGCCAAAAACAAGTGAGGGTATATAAGTGCGAATTAAAGAAAACTGTAGTGTATTTAAATGCAACATAGAATATCTCATATGCACGATTTTCTGTGGGTATAACCTATGATTTTGGGCATTTCGACCAAGCTACAAAATTTCGTCCGACATAGAGTATATTATCCATACTTCAAAGTCACAATTTGCTGTGGACCATTACCTATGATTTTTACTATTTTTGATCGAATTGCAAATTTTTGTCCTAGACAGTAATAATTTATACACACTCCTAATTTCTCAAAATTCTATCAACTGTAACTCGATGATTTTGGCTATTTTTTATCAAATCACGAACTATTGTCCCTTATCAAATATTTTATGCGTACTCCAATTTTCTCGAGTTTATGGACTACAACCCATGATTTTGAGCATTTTTGAAGAAATCACAAAATTTCATTCGTCATAGAATATTTTATGCATTCTCCAATTACTCAAATTTCTATGGACTATAATCCATGATTTTTACTGTTTTCGATGAAATCACAAATTATCATCCCATATAAAATAATTTATATGCACTCAAATTTCTGAGGCGTATAACCCATGGTTTTGGCTATTTTTGATCAAATAACGAACTGTTGTACCTTGTAGATTATTTTAAGCATAGTCCAAAATTCTTAAGTTTCTGTGAACTATAACCCATGATTTTGGCCAATTTCGGTAAAATCACAAAATTTCATTCATTATAGACAATTTTGTGTACTCTAATTTCTTGAATTTCTATGGGCTATAATCTATGGTTTTGACTGTTTTCGATCGAAACACAAAACCACCCAACATAAAAATAATTTAAATGTACTATCGAATTTCTATGGACTATACTCATGATTTAGACTGTTTTTGATCAAATCACGAACTGAAGTACCTCAAAGAATATTTTTTGCATTCTTCAAAATTCTCAAATTTTTATGGACTATAACCCATCATTTTGGATGTTTTTGATCAAATCACAAGTTGTTGCACCTCATAAAATATTTTATGCACATTCCATAATTTTGGGCATTTCGACGAAATCACAAAGTTTTGTCAGGCATAGAATATATTATCCATACTTCAAATTCCTGAAATGCTATGGACTATAACCTATTATTTTAACCGTTTTCGATCAAATCACAAATTTTCGTCCTGGGTAGAAATAATTTGTATGCACTCGAAATATCTTAAGTTTCTATGGATAATAACTCATGAGTTTGGTTTTTTTGTCTAATCAAGAACTATTGACCCTTATAGAATATATAATGTTTTATGCTCATTCCATAATTCTCGTGTTTTTGTGGACAATAACCCATGATTTTGGGCATTTTCGACTAAATCAAAAATTTTCGTTCGTTATAGAATATTTTATGCATACTCTAAATTATGGAAATTTTGTGGACTCCAATATATGATTTTGACTGTTTTCGATCAAATCACAAATTATCATTCTACATAATATAATTTATATGTACTCAAATTTTTATGGCATATAACCTATGATTTTGACTGTTTTTCGATCAAATAATGAACTATGCACCTTCTAGATTATTTTGTGTACTCGAAAATTCTCAAGTTTCTGTGG